ATGGAATAATTCATAGTGGATACAGTAGTTACGTATTAATTCATAATGGATACAGAAGTTATGTAATAATTCATAGTGGATACTGAATACTTCATAATAGTTATGGAATCATTCACAGTGCAGAATGTTTGATATATTTTGTATAGTGGACACTAAATAAGTCATTGTAGCAGCTAATAATTCACAGCAGTTGCTTCATAGTGGATACATTAAATACTGAATAATTCATATTACATATGTGATAATTCATAATGCAAGCTGAATAATTCACTCCAGGCCCAAAGAAATAAAGATGCTACATGGAACCTGAAAGCGTTCTTCGGAGCGATGCCACTGAAGAAGCACTTTTAGTTCCCTTTAGAAACTGTTAACAGATGGTTCTCTGAAAGCACAGCAGTAAACAAGCTTCTATACCCATCAAAGACTTGTCTTTGAACCGTACGTCCAGGTCAAGAACTGTTTAGGAGGCTTTACTGTTAAGAACGTGAGATTAGTGAACATTAGTGAACATTAGTGAACATCAGAGGAGCCTGCAGTGTTCAGGGGTTAGTTTGTTGGTCTGTGAGTGTTGGGATGTTAGGTGTGAGCAGTGAGAGGGAGACTTGTGTTTTCTGAAGACGAGCTCGAGCGAGGCAGGAAGAGGAGAATGAAAGAAGGGTGAAACCTCAGAGACAGATGTGAGGCAGACGACATGTTTGTTTCGACCTTCATGTGGTTCTCCAGAGCAAACCACCCCTGTCCTAGCGCAGCATGCTGTACTGCTCGGGGAGGCAGCCTCTCCCTCCTCCATCTGCCTTCTGCCTCTCCACTGTGCTACATCTGAAGGTGAAGCTGAGAGGTGTTCATGTTTATCTGTAGAAGATCGCAACATCACTTAAAATGGTTCTTCAAGGGTTCTTTAGTAACGGCAACGGTTCTAGAACCATAAACACTCAAAGAATCATTTGCACGCTCAAATGGTTCTTCAGATCGATGGAGAATGTGTTGTGTATGGTTCTATATAGCACCAAAAAGGACTCTTCTATTGTAACAAGTTTGACATCGTAACAATAGCAGAACCCTTTTTGGTGCTATGTAGAACCAATTTCAAAAAGGTTCTATTTAGAACCATAAACACATTTTCCATCAACCTAAAGAACCATTTCACCATGCAAAGAAACATTTAGTCATGCAAATGGTTCGTTAAGTGTTCATGGTTCTATGTAGTATACACTTAAAAAAAGATGGTTCTTCAAGGGTTTTTAGTGAAGGCAATGGTTCTATATGGAACCATAAACACTCAAAGAACCAATTACATGCTTTTATGCATGATGAAATGGTTCTTCAGATTCAATATAGTTCTATATTACACCAAAAAGGGTTCTATTCTAACAAGCTTGACATTATAACAAAAGAAGAACCCTTTTAGGTGCTATATAGAACTATTTTCAAAATGAACAAATAAACAAATTTTCCATCAATCTAAAGAACCATTTCACCAGCTTCATGTGGTTCCCCGGGGCAAACCACCCTAGTCCTAGCGCAGCATGCTGACATTATAACAACAGAAGAACCCTTTTGGTTGCTATATAGAACTATCAATCTAAAGAACCATTTCATCATGCAAGAAAACGTTTTCACGGTTGTCAATCTTGCGAAATGAAGTGAACCATCAGAGCTCTGGTTGTTTTGTTTGTCCAGGAAACGTCCGTATTACAGCTGCAGGCCTGGCATGTTCAGATGGATCCTGAAGGAAACAAAAGTTCTTATATAAATGCTTTTGGAACTTCAGCATGTTTCTCCCACATCTTCCTTTCCATGACTTGCTAAATGAAACTAGAATGTGGTGCCAGACAGAAACCACAACAGCAGAACTTCATGTTCTAAAGGACATTCAGGGAGAAGTTTGTCATAACGTTATGGAGGTACAGCACGATCCACCAATTGAACACGAGAAGAGCAGAACCATCCAATCTGGAAAGAAGAATTCTCATGGAATTCAGGCAACTTACCAAGCTCAATCTGTTTGCGAATAAATATTCCTGGAAATCTGAAGAACTTTAGATGCCTGCGTATCGTCTGGCTTACTTCTGTAATCTCAGATTGGCTTTTGTGTAAATTAATTATTAGCTGTGATGAAACCACTTCTAGTTCCCTAAAGAACCTGGAGAAGAGATTGGAAGGAGAACCTTTGAAAAACGTTTGGAGTAATATACATGTAATATACATCATGTAGAGGTTCTTCACCAATTTAAGGGTTTTTCCAAGAGCGTTTACAGTATATGGAGGTTCCTTATACTTCAAGAAGGTTCTTCACACTTGCATTGCTCATGTACAAAAATGGTCCTCTAAAGGACTATGCGTCAACAGGTTCTCAAACCGGTCCTCAGACAGTCCATGTTTTTGGTCTTTTACAAGTTAGGTTGGAGCAAAAATTTGGACCATCTCGTGGTCCCCGAGGACCAGTTCGAAAACCTCCATTTTAGCGCATTTATCTCTATTTTTAGGAATGTAGCATCACAGTGGTTGAAACGTTTCCTCCCAGCTGAAGGCTATTCTCATTTATAAAGTGGCGAAGGTGAAGCTGAGGCGCTTTAATGCTGCGGCCGAGGCGCATTCGACTCGTTTGTTATCTACATTTCAATCTTTTAAACCTGTTTTGATGCTGGTGGTTAAAATGTTTATGTGCAAACAATGTGACAAGGACACATTTTAAAACCATGCAATATATTTTGTTATGTCTAAAATGCAGAAGCAGGAAGATGTTATGAAAGTCCTGTTTTTCAAAGTGAGCATAGCATGATTTCACAAGTCTAGGCTCCAGATATCAGGATCGTTATAAGTTGTAGGTTTTGAACTGAATCTAGAGGCTAATTAAAACATTTCAGGACAGATTTGGCACCCTGATAGAAACTTTATCATTTGCCAAAACTTGGTGTCGTCAATGTCTAGTTGTCAGAAATGAGCTGCTGCTTTGAGGAATAATCTAAAGATCAGATTAATCAAGAGAAAAATGTTGCATGAGTTTTTAGAACAGGCTACACAAACAGATCAATATTCAGCCAATTCAGATTTTACTTTCCTTTAAATTTTACAGTCATTTAAATTTCTGCAAATTAGCAAATAGTACTTTTTTGTTAAACTGTGATTTCAGTTTTTCTCATGAATTTAAACTATGATATTGGACTCTAAATGACAAAGCTATAGTTTGGTGGTCTACTTTGTGTACTTTTGTGCCTCTTTTATGTGTTTAATAATCACTAAATAGCAAAAAGCGCTGCTTTTATTAATGGACTTGATCTTTACAGATTGCAAATTTGTAAGAAAGTGAAGAACACTGTGCAAGATGAACGTTTCAGGGCAGAAAAAGAAACTAAAGCGCTGCCCATCACTCTTTAAAATGCTAGTGCTTTGGAGCCACAGAAAAATCATACTAGTTCCATAAAAATCTCAAAAAAGAACTGTTTTTCTTACATAATATGGAGATACTAATTACAAGTTGAATCCGTCCAATCAAGCACCTTTATTTTTAGTGCTGTTCATCCTGTTGATTTTTATTTACCATGAAAAAATTACAGAATTTTTCAAATGTATATGAACATTTTTCTGTAAGTAAAATGACCTTTTTTAGGTAAACACGAAAGCTCATGTTTCACGTTTTATGTTGGCTCATCAGAAAAAGTTCTAAGCTTTCTAGAACGTTTGTAGGCAGACAGAATAGAAAAAACAGAGAAAAGACAAACCTATGGTGTCTTCATCTACAGGCAAAAATTCTGTTTTACAGCAGATTCACTGTTAAACAGTTTTGTATGGTCAAACTATGATGATGATGACGGTTGACGTCCTGTGTGAACTGAACCGAGTAGCTGGTTGTTACTACTGAGTTAAATTATTAAAAAGGAAAATTACAGACCAGCCAAAGATCCCCATAAAAAGGAACCGTTTTTTTTAAGAATCAATGATCAATTTTCTGTTATTTCTGAGGTTTAGATGCTGTTAGATATTTCTTCACATCTGCTGTTTTTTAAATCGTGGAACACTTACTTTTAAGATGCAATATATTATTATATTCACAAGAAGTGGATGTTATCATTCAAAATATCATTCAAAAAAAAAAAAAAATACATAGCATTTCATTACTGTCCAGAAAAAAAAAGGTGGTAGATTTTTTTCTACATCATTTGAACCCGGCGACTCTCCTTTACACTGAATTCCAAGATGAATGGACCAATAATGCTTCAAAAACACTTAAACCTCTTTACATGAACTTGCATTATGAGTTTAGAATGTTTTTGTCTTCTCCTGTAAATGTACTATTGTGGAGATACAAGTTCTTCTTTGGACAGGGACGATTTACTCTAAGGGCCAGTTTCATGGGGCATGGATTAAGACTGGCTTTGGACTAAACTGCAACATCAACCATGTTCAACATTAAAAAAACACTGTGCTTAGGCTTAATCTGGGGCTGGGAAACCAACCGTAAAAGTTTCACATCCATCTTTTGATGCACGGACTACATTTCATCATTTCCCGCTGTAATATAGTATATTACATATTATTACTATGTTATTATGCTATTAAAAGCATATCATAAACTTGTATTGAGCTTGTCTTGGATACATCTCCACTCTTCCCTTCTTATGACTTCGATTACAGACATTTGTAAGTGTTATTGTGATAAGAAATATTTGAAGTTAAAGCATCAGATTTATACCATCAGGTTTTACTGGACTTAAGTTAAATGTTCCTGCTGTGCAAATATTTTCAAAAGCTGTGAGAAACCGCTCGGGATTTTGATTTCCCAGAATTTGATCAATATGGATCTTCAAGCAAAACTTAATCCTAAGCAAAACAATGATTATTTATTATGTTAAATAAGAAGCTTTTGTTTTTGGAGAGCTACTGTATGTGTAATTTATATTTATGGTCATCAGTAGTCATCAGCGCTTTGTCTCTTCAGCCAATCAGAAGTGAAGGCAGAGATCTAAACCAATAACTGGACATCTCGTTATCCCTATTAGGCCAATCAGACGTAAGGGAGGGGTCAACAGACATTTTACAGCAATTTTTACTCTGCGAGTCAACATATCCGGAGACGACATCTGAGAGAAGCGTCAGATCATCCGATCATCAACAACTGAATATTCGAACACAGGTATGGTCAAATTTTATAATTTTACTCATTATCTCATTATTTAGGTCTAAACATTACACATTACATGGTTATTATTATGCTATTATATTGTAATATGTATATCATAGACCTGTAATAAGCTTGTCTTGCGTTATATATTCAGTATTCACTTCTTATGGTTATAGTAACAGATTTTTTGACTGTTATTGTAATAAAAGTTGATTTTTTTATTTTTTTTAAAAAGCGTTTTAAGTAAAGTTAATGAATGTAGTACATTTATACCATCAGGTGTTATTAGATATAAATTTCTGCTGCGCAAAAGTTTTCAGTTATGAGTTTAGCATTGAGGAAGGATTTCGATTTCTCGGAATTTGGTCCACCAGAATCTATATTCAAAACATCAAACAATCGGAGGCAAAAAAAAACCAACACAAACTTTCATTTTCAGAGAACTAATGTATGAGTTATTTACATCCATGGATATCAACAATCATCAGCCGTCTTTTGTCTCGTTAGAGAATTAGAAATGGAAGATCAGACATTATTCGCTTCCGGAGCTCCTAACCAATAACTGGACATCTCGTTTTCCCTATTAGGCCAATCAGACGTAAGGGAGGGGTGAAACACGCTTTAGAGCAATTTGTACCCAGCAAGTCAACACATCCGGAGAGGACGTCTGAGAGAAGCGTCAGATCATCCGATCATCAAAAACTGAATATTCCAACAAAGGTACGATCTTATTTTTATAGTTTTTCTAATTGTCATCATTTACTACAAAACATAGCATATTACATAGTTATTATTTTGTTATTATATTGTAATATGCATATCAAAGACTTGTAATAAGCTTGTCTTGCGTTATATATGCACTCCACGTCTTAAGGCTTTGATAACAGAGATTTGTGAATGTTTTTGAAATAAGTGTTTTACAATTAATCAGTCTATTACTTTTATGCCACTGAACTGAAGTTAGATATAAATTCTGACTGTACAAACATTCTCAATTGGAGTTTAGCACCAAGGAAGTGCTTGGGAATTTAGATTTCGTGGAATTTGGTCCACGTGGATCTTCAAACAAAACAATCTGAAGCAAAAATTCCAAGACATATTATTATAAATGTATAATATATAACATTACATAACTAGCTTTGGTGAAAAAGAAATAAAATTGTGAACATGAAGCATATAAAGCATATGTACTGATTAAATACACTGAAATGTCTAAAAAACATAGTGTATCCCATTATGAAAAAATGATGAAATGTACAGTTTAAAGAATCTGACTTGATTAAACATAAAACAAATATGCACTTTAATTCCAAACTAAACAGATAAAGCCATCTGAGGCGCTAGTATGAATTAGACTTCGACAACACTGAATGGATATCGACGTTAAATCCCACAGTGTAGCGACAAAAAAGCTGGTGTAATTATAAACTTTGACGTGTTGACGTTTTAAAAGATTTTTGGAGGTAATGTCAGTTCGAAATGTGTACACATGCCCTCAATCTGCTCTTCCTACTGCTCCTCTGCATCTGAGTTTTCTGTTTAACCTCCGCTCTGACCACAGCCCTGATCATCTGTCTTTCTGGGTTAGCGCCTCAGGTGCAGCCTCCTGCTCTCGCTATCTCTACATCTATCCTTTTTTCTTCTTCGTCTTTGCACTTTCTTCTGCTTCATCTTTCTCGCTCTTTGTTGGCTCTTAATTTGCTGCTTTTCTTTTCTACAAGTGGTGCATTGCTTGAAAAAATGGTGGGCGATATAGCAAAAATATCACAATACTTGAAGATATATTAACGATACATGACATGTAAAACTTTGAGTACAATGATGTTTTAAAAAATCAACGCTGGTAATAAGATGATGTCATAACAAGCTGACATCCAATCGGCTACTTGTTACTGTGTACTTTATATAGAGTCATGTATGTCGTATATTAAATGCATTGCTTCGTTAACTCTCAAAGTGAAAATAAGTGAACACATTCTCTAACGGGAACTTAAATATGTCCTTTTCCTGCAAATTTTAGTTCACAGTTTCTAAATATTTAAAGAGCTTAACCCCTCAAACATCCAGGGTCCACCTGTAGGCCCAAAGTCTCATTACACACTTCTATTACCTAAGAATAGCTCAACCAGTTTGCACTGAAGTCCCTGTAGTTACTGAATAATAAGGCTTAGTATGTAATACTCCAAGGTTTTGTGGGGGTTAACATACTGAAAATAAATGAATACATAAATAAATAAAATGTGCCATAACTTTTGCACAGGCCACATTTTATATATTATTTGTTTCACTAATATGTTAAAAATTAAACAAATAGCCAGCAATAGTGCACTAAAATGGGCAGAAGTGTGAACTCTGAGGAGGATGTGTTCACTTATTTTCACTTACACAAATATATCAACAAGACATTTGACCACGGGTGCTAAAACTTTTGCACACGACTGTAGTTACAATCCCCTGATTGTTGTTGTTTACAGGTTGTTCAGTCTTCTAAAATTATCACTGTAGATCTGTGTATACTTGGGTATTACATGTATACACACCTCTGGGAATGGTTTACAATGTAAATACCCAAAAATAGTGAGATATGTTTGGGTTTTACGATTTTATGCTTAATTATAAAAACAAAAGCCTCATGCTCGTCCAGTAGCGAGCCAAATAACCAGCGCTTCACGCGTTGGGGACGTTTTCATGTTTTCTCCTAGTCGTCATGCTGTAAAATGACAGAGAAAACTTGATTTCATACAGCATAGCAGTAGAGTAAGATCGATTAGCAGCAGACTGGGGTTCGATTCCCCGCTCAGGCAGGCACACCACACGAAGATTCCTCGCGCTGGACTCCTAACGCTACATCACGTACATCTGTACTGCGATTTAAAAAAGTCGCTCTAGATGAGTTGTTTGCCTAAATCCGTGAAGTTGTACAGCACCCCTGTTGATTGTTGTTGATTTTCTAAGTGAAAATAAATCAACACATCCTCTACAGAGAACACACTGCCACCCATTTTAATACACAAATATTTCTGAGCTGTGCATGTTGAGAAAAAATAAAACATACAATGTGGCCTGCGCAAAAGTTATGACACTTTATATTCTGTGTTCTATTTTTTCCCCAATATGTTAAACTATGTTAAAATTGTACATTAAAATGCGCAAAAAAATGCCATATTGAAGTTTGTTCCCTGTAGATGGTACAAACTTATACAAAAATCAACAAAACATAATTTTACCAGCCTTATTTTGGATACAACTAGAAATGTAAATATCAGTAAAGCATGTTATTTGATGCGCAATCAGTTTTGATATCCAGCACATAACTAGTATCATCCTCAAATTTTTTTAAAAAAAGAAGGATTTTCACTGTTAAAGTACTGTAAAGTTAATTAAAAAAACTTGGTCAGTATCTGTTTTTTTTGGAGAAAAATGCATGTGCATATACTGTATTTTAACACTTCTGTTAATTTACAGAAATAGAATGTAAATTCAATGAAGTAAATTCAATGAAGTCAAATTATCTATTTTGTTTTGGAGATATTTGCGTTTATTTCAATGACTGTAATTTACCATAATAATTACAGAATCAATCAGAATTACTAGTTGAATTACAGTAAAAGAAAACATACTTTTACTGTTAACAGGTTTTGTCTGGCACCCCTGCTGTGGGACTGTTTACTGTTGTTTACAGATATTTTTTTAACAGTGCATGAAACTGTACATGAATGATTGCAGTTGTAGTTGTGTTCATAGTTGTATTGGCTGTAGCACATTTACACGCTCCTCAAGAAAAAGGTCTACATTAAGACTGTAAGACTTAGAGCATACGGAGTATACACACCCTTCCAGATGACGCTACACCGCTGTCTGGAAGCACTGATGGCATCTGCTTATACTCCGAAATTATATTGTGGTATAATGAGGATGACGCCTCATTCATATGAAGCCCACTATCGCATATTTTCAAGCGGCTAGCTATGCAGAAACGGTCAACAAGCAAGGCTTTAGATTTTTGATGCGCAGGTTGTAAAGTGGAGAACAGCAGCATCTTTACAGATGATTTTAATGTCCATTTGAAAAGGTTTATAAAAAATAATTATAAAAAAGGAATAAAGTGGACATTTATAACATTTATATACTACTGTTTTTATGTAAACTAAGGTCAAAATTGTTCTATTACTTATATTTTATATTATTATACTATTATATTGTTGTGTATGGACACTGCAAAGCACAGTGAGTTTTTTATTTTGTACTATTTTCCGCATTTTAGAATAAAACTGACAGTGTCATCAAAACTATGTAACTTTTTAAAATTCTTTTATTTATCACTGTTTATCTGCTTAATTTAACATGTTGGGGAAAAAAAAAGTTTTGGGGTTTGTATTTACAAAAAACAATTTGGGTGACTATTGACTTCTAGTGTTAGCAGCATTAGCCTCATAGCTCCAGTTGTAAACTCAAGATGCAAAATCTGGACTCCAAACATGTCTTGGCTGACGGACCACATCAGTATTTCTGGAAAATTCTAGAAATTTGATTCTTCACCAAACTTTTTCGTTTAATGATATTGTGTGATAAAAAAAAACAGTTTTCCGTGTATACAGTCATATGCAAAAGTTTGTGCCCCCCCAATCATATGACGTGCAAGTTTACACATCCTCAGAGAACACACTTTGGCATGTTTTAGTGCACAACCACTGTTTATTTACTGAACAGTATTTGGGAAAAAAGTAAAACATAAAATGTGGCCTGTGCAAAAGTTATGGCACACTTTAAATTGTATGTTTTTTTCCCAATATGTTAAACTTGGCAGTTAAATCCGCAGAAAAACAACATTTTTATATTTACTCTCTGTGGATAAAGTGTCGACTTCGCTTAGAAAATCAACAAAGCCTGTAATTTGACTCAAAGGTGTACAGCCTTTTGCATAGGAGTGTAAATTTGAATTGAAAATGAAAATTTCTTTAGAAATAATTCATGCACAGGCACCAACTCATCTTAGAAATGAAGGTTATGAAAACAGCATATTCAACTACGTGTGCCCAAACTGGTACTGTATATATACACAGCAGGGTGGGAAAGGCTGAGACCACTTGTGAAGATGCTTCATTTTTTTTTTTATCTTTTCTAAAGTTTCTTGTTACAAATATTATTATCAGCATAAGAATGAGTCAAATGTAAAATCTTCAGAATTTCTTAGTGTACAGTATGTCCCATTTTGCTTTAAACCCCTACATAACCAGGACCCATCGGCCCAAAGTTTTATTACACATGCCTATAGCCTAAGAATGGTTCAGCCAGTTTGCACTGAAGTCAGTGCAGTTACTGAATAATAAGCCTTATTATGTAATAAGCCTGAGAATTTGAGGGGTTAGTAACCGCAAGCATTCGAGCTGCATGAACTTCAGATTAAATCCACCTGAGAGTAATAAACACCAGCGTCAGTGGAGGAAGCTGTCCATACACGTCATGCACTCATTACTGTGACGTATCTATCAGAGTAACAGTAAGCTGCTGGTTTAATTTAACCAGAAAAGCCAAGTTGTTGTTGAGTCTTATGTCTTCAATGGAACAGATAAGACACAAAAACAATGTGACCTTTTTGTACAAAGGCCTTAACATGGTCATGGGTGTGAATTCTAACAGTGAGATTAAATGGTTCAGAATCTTGGATATTTCTGCTTCTCAAAACTTTTTTTCAGCATTTTAAAACCTCCTGGTCTAAAAGAAAACAATAGCACACTTTGAATGTGCACTTAGACTTTTGGAACCCACTATGTGCAGTCACATATTGTGTGGTTGTAGTAACCATAGAACAGTAAAAGAAGGATAACTCCACCGATTTTCAGAATTTCTGCACAATTCAGTGGTTGAGATGTAAACAGAGTCATTCAGAGTGGTTTGGTGTGAAATGGTTGATTGTAGAGACTCAGATTTCTTTACAGTGGTGGTGATGGGAACCAGGGGTCGCCATGACTACAACACTAATATAGACATTTTATTTAAACCACCAGTGAACCAACACATGCCTTCTGAGTTTTATGTGCAATATTTATGATGGTAAAATGGTGGTAAATCTGAAAAAAAGTAATTTCGTTGGCCCTATAATGCCCTGGAAGTACCCCTCCAGCATGAATAAATGAATTTTAAAAGTATGCTTTAGGTCAAAACTATGAAAAACCATGTCTTAGATGGTGGGCAGTGAATTCATAACCATTTCATGTAATAACCTTCCGTGAGGGAGCTTTTAGAGGTGGATGTCTGGTTCCCATCACCACCACTGTGAACAATTCTGACCGGCTAAGTTTCCCTAGAACAGAGCGTTTCACACCAAACCACTCTGAATGACTTCACATCTTGACCATTGGATTATGCTGAAATTTTGAAAAATTGGTGGACTTCCTTTGTAATTACTTTGTATTTACAGTACTGTACATTTAAATATCGCACCAAAGCAACAATAACAGCTCCAGACTTGTGAGATTTGAGGCCTTCTCCAATGCGAATGTAAATTCAGTCACTTTAGAGGATGAGAAAGAAGAGATTTGCAGAAAAAAGCTCCACACAGAGACCACAGCGCGCTGTGCGCCGCACTCCCGGCTTCGCCCAGAGCCGTGTGGTGCGTTTTTTTTCTCCCCTCGCGAGCGTGGAGAGATCCGTCTTTCGTGGAACAGGGGAGGAAGAGGGGGGCGTGTGGGAGGGAGGAGGAGGAGAGGAGGTTAAGAAGAGAGGGATAGAAATCTAGTCCCGGCACAATCTCAGCCCACCACAGCCCCACCTCTCCGCCACTCGCTCTCTCTCTCTTTCTCTTCTGCTCTCTCTCTTTGAAGTCCCCCGCATGGCGCCCCTCTTCCCTTTGTGTCTGAAAACCAAAGCCCACCACAAGGCTTCTACAGTCTCTCACTCTCTTCACTCAATCTCTTAAACAAAAAAAAAAATCAAGGCCCACCACAAGCCCCTTCCTTCCGCTTTACTGTATTACACATTATATCTCATATCAGGGGCTTAAAGGAAAACTCTTGTAACTGACAAAATAATCTTCACCTGATGCATCTACACTGTAACATTAATTACCACAGGCAGTAACTGCAATATGACTCTCGGTATTTAGTAACGAACAGAAAATGTGTTGACTCAAATATCGCTTGTAATAGAAGTCAGTGGGCACCTGCTGAATTCCACGAATAAATGTTTGAAATATGTTACTATATAAGAAATTTGAAACTTCATATTTTACCAAAACTGTTCTTTTAAAGTTTTGTCCATCTGCCCACACTGGAGAAGTACAATGAGCGAAAGTTGGCCCTTATTTATCAAAGTTGGCACACGATTGGTAAAATCAGCGCACATCATTTCACTGACAATTTTTTTTCCCTCACCAGTTTCATCTTTGGCGTGTCTGTACAATCAAACTCACGTCTGGTAGGAGTGTGTAAATTTGAGTGTAACAGTTTAACAACCTGAAAAAATCTTGATTTGCGTGTAACTATTATCAAATCAAAAATAACAGTAATACTTTGTGTACATGGCAATTGATATGGTACAGAAATAGATTACTTTCATTAGCTTCCTACTCAAACATCCTGAATTATGGTAATTCATGTAAATGATATGTAAATGAGGTTGGCTGGCGCTTGATTTCACGCACCGAGGCTGATTGCACTCGATTTTCCGCTCGTTATGTGCTTATTTTACGCAACTTTGATGATTAAGCACTGTAGTCATTAATAAGAAGCACCACTCTTAAAAGGCTTCATCATAGAAAGTCATCTTTCCTCACTTTTTTAAACCTAAAAGAGTTTAATATATGATGTAAACATTGTTAAAGTTTCAAAACATTCGGTTAACCACCTCTCCTATACAGTCCACACATGGAAACTAAGCTGCAATGGTGTCGTGAAATTCATGAAAACCAATGCATTTACATAAATTCCACACTCTTTATATTAACTTTATAAGAAGGGTTTCAGCCCAGACTGCATTGTGAATGAGGCACAACACAGGGCGGCCAATTAGAACAGAGCTAATTTACATACACAGTCATACTCAAGCGTTTATGCACCCTTGTTGAAATGACACTTTTTGACGAAGTGAAAACCGGTTGTTTTGTTACTGATACACTGTCATATGCGAAAGTTTGTGTGCCCCTAGTCAAATGACATGTTTTGTGGAAGCGAAAATTCAGAGAACACGCTTAAAAATGCCTTTTTCCCACAACAAACTTCTATGTTTTTGCTGAGTATAACGTATAACATGTGTCATAACTTCTCTATTCCACATTTTATGTACTTTCCCCCCCTAGTATGTTAGCAAATAGAAAGTAACTGTGCATTAAAGATTGTGTTCCATATATGATAAGCTAACTTATGTAGAGGGGGTGAAAAGGGGTCATAAAAAACGTATTATGACTGTTTTTGAAACATAAATCCACACAAATATCATAAGCTGAAAAAAGTAAAAGAAAAATGTATGACATAAGATTTGGGCCTTTTAAGAAGCACCAAAGACTGTTCCTCAAAAAGAGGTTCTGGGTCCTTTTGCTTCCCCTGAGATTTTCTGTGTGGACATCATTCTTTCTGTTTTATTTGACTTGATTGACCTGTTTTAACGTTTGGGTAATTACAGTCTTTTAATGTAAGTATATGTACATTCAATTAGCATCAACTTGATGTCCTCACATGTGGTGGGTAGCACTGTCGCCTCACAGCAAGAAGGGCCTGGGTTCGATTCCCCGGCCAGGCGACTGGGGTCCTTTCTGTGTGGAGTGTGCATGTTCTCCCTGTGTCTGTTTGGGTTTCCTCCCACCGTCCAAAGACATGCAGTCTGGCCAACTGGACATGCCTTCCGCTCAATGAATGCTGGGATAGACTCCAGCACCCCCATCTCCTCCCCGCCCCATGGTAGCCCTAGCTTAGATAATGAGTGAGTGAGAATGTTTCTCTTCTCTTCTCACTCTCTCAGCTCAGGGACAGAATGCTGTTCTTATGGGCGCTGTTACTCCTGCTGCCTCCACCTTCCTCAGCTGCAGGTAAGATTTCTCCAGAATCACTCCATCATTAGCACAATATGACATTTAATGTTAGCTCTGGAAATTTAGACTAGCTGTGTAGTCATTTCATAGCCCCAAAACATAGAAACGCACAAATAATATTCATCTTAAATGGCAACAAGAACAGAAAGCATTGATTAGTAAATTCTGTTTGACCTGTATTAAATTGAAAAAGATACAATAACACAATATTTAATGTTTTATCTAAACAAATTCATTGTTTTTTGTAAATATATACTCATTCTAAATTTGCACATTCCAAAAAGTTGGGACAGGAGCCTGTTTACCACTGTGCTACGTCATCTTTCCTTTTAACAACACTTAGAAATCATCTGGGGACTGAACACGTAACACCCCCCATAACATGACAGACCCTAACCTCTTCTTCTTTGGCCCAGAGAACACAGTGTCCATTATTACTATAAACAATCTGAAAGGTTGACTTGACACAACACACACTTCCACTGAGCATCAGTCTATTTCAGATGAGCTTGAGCCCAGAGAAGTCGGCAGTGTTTCTGGACACTGTTGATATATGACTTCCACAGTGCATACTGCAGTCTTAACACGCATTTGTGGATGCATCGACAGACACTGTTTATTTCCAGTGGTTTGCCAAGTATTCCTGAGCCCATGTGGTGATATTCATCACAGAAACAGGCTGGTTTTTAATGCAGTGCCATCTGACGTTTTCAAAGATCACAAGCATTGATTTGTGGTTTGTGGCCTTGCTTTTTACAAGATTTTTCCAGAATCCCTAAATCTGTTGATAATTTTATTCAACATAGATGGTGAAATACCTAATATCCTTGCAAGCAGTTGGTCTATTTGCCTTTTTCGTCAGAAACGACCCTTGTCCCATTCTTGCTTATAAAGGACTCAGCCTTTCCTTGATGCTTCTTTTATAACTAAACATGATTACATTACCTCTTTTAAAATGTTTTCTGAATAGTTAACAACATCTTAAATCTTAAAAACTGTACAAACAGTTTTGTTTTGGAATTGGATTTGTAATATACTATAAGAAATTACCAACTCAGTGCTCTTCACAAGGAATTTTTGCTGGCATGAGCATCCATGTGTAGCATTCCATATGAAGCTATCAAACACTTGAAACGCTATAATTCAATAATCACCCAAATCTTTTCTGTTAATACAGACATAAAACCTCTCTCAACTCCTTCAAACTGCATCCAGATGTTCATTAAGGTTGTGCAGACTTGTTGATGTGATTTAGGACTCAGTATGACTTACTATGAGCTATAAAAAAAATCAAAATTCACAGTGTAGCTGAACCCAGCAAACAGCCAATTTAAACAACACTGTGTGCTTTTGGGGTTGATAATTTATGCTGAGCACCCCCTGGTGGATTTAAATTAATATAACATTGGCACAACAATGACTTGGAAATCTGGCATTTACTGCTGTTATGTATATTCTTGCTTATTTTTGTTGTAAAATAATGCATTTAAATGTCAAATCTATTCAAATGTTTGCCAAAAAATTGCTAATCCACATGTTATTGTAACAGGCGTACATGTGAAAGGATTCTGGAATTCAGAACAACACCTGTAGTCTAAAATGGCTGACCCGGTGTTCAGCTACATGGCGAAGTTTTGTTCATTTTATAGTCCACAGTAAGTCATACTGTGTCCAAACCACACCTTAATAAACACTTGGATCTGTGGATTAAGCAGGTTGGAGAGGTTTCAGGGACCTATTTACCAAAACGATTTGGGTGACTATTGACTTCTAGTGTTAGCAACATTTGCCTCAGAGCTCCAGTTTTAAAGGCAAGATGCAAAATTTGGAGACCAAACATGTCTTTGCTGATTGACCATATCTGGAGTTCAGGGAAAGCTGTAAATTAGATTTTTCACCAAAGTATTTCTATAATGATAGTGTGTAATATAAAACCCCAGTGATAACTGCATCCTTTCAAATTATATAATTACAAATTATAATTCCAGTGACTGTGTACACTTTAAACTGCAGTTGATGTTTGGTATTATAAAGAAATATGAGTGGTTCAGTAAAAAAGTAGTTTGCAGCATAATAAATTCCTATATACCTATAAAGAAAATTAACAAAACATGTGATTTGACTGTGGGGTGACATATTTTGCATCAGTGGATTTTAAACATTTTTGGTATGTTTTAAAAATACCCTGAAACTACTGAAACAGGCTGTACTACACCCCATTCCAAATGCACATATGCCCACTGTCATTCTGGTATTCATAATAGAAAATACTACTTATTGCAAAATGTAAGCAAATGAAGTAAATTAAGGCCCTGAGATGATCCATGTGATGATTTCTTTTTCAGGAAACTCAGAGGTGTTTTTCGCACAGGTGGGGGGCTCAATAACTCTTCCCTACAAGGGCCACCTAGAAAAGGAGAGTGTATATGTGAAATGGTTCTTCTTTTCTAATCAAGAAGACTTATTGATTTGGAAGCACCCCAAACAAGATTCTCCCAAAAATGGTACAGTAGAGGGCGCTAGTGGCATTTCTGCATGCCGTTATTGTGCATTACATTTCTGACAGCAGCAGCTCCAGCTGAGAAAACTGAAGGTCTTTCTGATTTTTTCTTTCAGAGGCACCGGAGGAGTTTGAGAAGCGAGTGTTTCTTTCAAAAGATTCCTCCCTCGTCATTAATCCTGTTCAGGAGACCGACTTTGCTCGCAGTGGATTCTTTAAATGTGTAGAGCAAGATTACAAAAGCAAGATTGAGAAGGAGTTTAGACTGTACCGTGGTAAGACCCGAGACAAACGACCGTCTCTGTTTGTATATTAATAAACTAAGACTATACACATCGTCACTTATATAGCGTTATAAGAAAACCTTATAATTTCCCTCTTTTGTGTTGTTTTTACACCATATGAAAATGACAGCTGCCCTTTACATTGTGTAAACCAAGGGTCCCAAACTAACTTTGCTTTGCCCACCAGGAGGAGAACTGCCACTTAATAATGTCTTCCGGGTTTGTCAAATGCTAGAGGGCGCTCTCGGTTGAGTTGGTTTCCTATACAGCACTCAGTAGCAGTAATGCCAAACAATCAGTACTCAGTAACAGTAATGCCAACCAATCAGCACTCAGTAGCAGTAATGCCAACCAATTAGCACTCAGTAGCAGTGATGCCAACCAATCAGCACTCAGTAGCAGTAATGTCAACCAGTCAGCACTCAGTAGCAGTAATGCCAAACAATCGACACTCAGTAGCAGTAATGCCAAACAGTCAGCACTCAGTAGCAGTAATGCTTAACCAATCAGCACTCAGTAGCAGTAATGCTTGACCAATCAGAACTCAGTAGCAGTAATGCCAACCAATCAGCACTCAGTCTCAGTACTGCTAACCAATCAGAATTCAGTAATGCTAGCCAAAGCAGTCAGATTAGTGATTAGTGTATAATTACACACAACAGTGCCAGCAACCCTCACAAATACAGACTAGATATTATAGAGATTTTACAGTGATATGACAACAACGGTTTGAAAGAGTGAAGCATGCTGGTTGATCTAAAGTCATCGTCCGCCACCTTGTGGCCTAAAACGGTACAGCAGAGCATGAAGGATTTCGTTGTCACCACTGCGCATCTCTAGCGAGCACTTCCTGTTGTTCATGAAATCAACTCTGATGCCTTTTAAGGGCAGTATTTATATTATTATTATTATTATTGTTCTTAGTGAACTTGAAAAATTTCATTCTACAGTGACTTTGATGGTCCAGCAATGCATCTGTAAGTTTTAGTGAACACAACTGATCACTATATCAGCTGAAAGTGCACCAAAACACCTGCATTCAGTGTCTCAGATGTAAACATTCAGAGTGGTTTGGTGTGAAATGGTTGATTGTAGAGACTCAGATTTCTTTACAGTGGTGGTGATAGGAACCAGGGGTCGCCATGACTACAACACAGATATAGCCATTGTATTTCCTATCCAAAACCACCAGAGAACCTACACGAGTCTTCTGAGCTTTATATGGAATGTTGATGATGGGAAAATAGCCATAAGTCAGAAAAAATGAATTTCCCCTGGGGTGCTATTTTCCCTCACAACGTCTGGCATGTATCCCTCCACCATGACTGGATTTGACAAAATGCTTTGGTCCACAACTATTATATAATATATATGCCTCAGTGTCTCAGACATCAGACAGTGAATTCATAACCATTTCATGTACTAACTTTCTGTGAGGGAGCTTTTAGAGGTGGACGTCTGGTTCCTATCACCACCACTGTGGACAGTTCTGACTTAGTAAAGTTTCACACCAAACCACTCTGAACGACCATTTAATGATGCAGAAATTGCAAATTTTATATTTATACTGAAGTATCTCTCTCTCTCCATCTCTCTTTTTCTCTCTCTCTCTCTCTCTCTCTCTCTCTCTCAGTGTACATGCCCTCTGCTCTGACCCTCCTGGCCGGTGATGATCTCTCTCTGTCCTGTCAGACGGAGGCTGGTGTGACTGCCCCCTCTGTAAGGTGGATCTCACCCAGCAGTGAAACTTACAGCGCGCAGCCCAAGAACTCACTGAGCGTGACGAACATCTCCTCCCAGCACAGCGGAGTCTGGACGTGTCAAGCGGAGTCTGATCCTCCCAAATTAAAAGCTACAACCACTGTGACCGTCATAGGTGAGTGCAGAGTGACCAGTTTCCCACCGCATTTCTAGTTTTGAGAGTTTGTTCCTCTCAGTTACCCCTACAACAATGAAACGAGAGTCAGAATGTTCATAGTGGTGGTGATAGGAACCAGACGTCCACCTTTAAAAGCTTCCTAACAGAAAGTTATTACATGAAATGATTATGGATACACTGTCTGATGCCAAACTCTACACACACACACACACACACACACACACACACACACTATTTGGCCTTGGTGCAAAATAAAGTTTTTCTAAAATCTTAATTTCTTACTTTTGTCTCTTATTTATTATTTATTTGCTACACTGAGCCAACCAAGGTGACTTGCTAGTGATAAAATAAAAACTGGTGAATACTTCTGTCTTAAATATGATGTAATCATGACAGTCAATATGCTATAAATGAATGATAACTAAGTAAATTAAGATCTTGCGCTGCTGTTACACGTCGGCACCGTGCAGACGTCTGAATGCAACCGCTACATCGTTACATCAGTACTACCGTATGAGATTCAGTTACAATTAGCAAACTGGAGCTGTAGCACCTGCAGTGGGAGCTGCTGGTTTAACCCCTAATATGGTTATATACAAATACAGATGTGCACTCTTGGGCAAAAAAAAAATGGTAAAACATTAAGCTTTTAATAGTCTTAACAACAAATTATTAAACAAATAGATAAAGTAACTTAATATGTAGTAATTTTTCCCTTCGATTCCTTTAGATGTCGAAGTTCTTTCTGTAAATTTGCAGACTTTTACAGAAAGAGGAGTCAGTATTGTTCCACACAGCACTGACAGCTGAAAAAC